TTTAACAGATTAATCTTTTCACGTGTTGTTAAGTTTTGTTCCATGTGGAGTAAACGTTATCACTTCACAAAAACGAATCACTGGGCTTTCACCTCATAATGACCATATCTTGAAGAATTTTAGCCCATGTTTACTGGACTTACACCTAATAATGACCATATCTTGAAAACTTTGGCCCATGTTTACTGGACTTACATCTCATAATGACAATAAATTTGACCCCTGTTTACTGGGCTTTCACCTCATAATGACCATATCTTGAAGAATTTTAGCCCCTGTTTACTGGGCTTTCACCTCATAATGACCATATCTTGAAAACTTTGGCCCATGTTAACTGGACTTACATCTCATAATGACAATAACTTTGGCCCCTGTTTACTGGACTTACACCTAATAACGACCATACCTTGAACAGGTTCAGCCCTTGTTTATTGCACTTACTCCTAATAACGACCATACCTTGAAGAGGCTCAGCCCCTGTTTATTGGACTTACACCTAATGACGACCATACCTTGAAGTGATTAAGCCCCTGCTTATTGGGTTTACACCTAATGACGATCATACCTTGAAAAGGTTCAGCCCCTGTAAATGAGCTTATACCTCGTGACGAATCTTTTCACTAAGAAGATCACAAACATAAACAATAAAAAAAGATATATAAAAAAACCTGTTTAATGTAAAACATTATTATTGCTGGTAGTTATTACAACATATATGTTTTTCATGAATTTAATCCTAGTATATATTAAAACTGCTTTTCATCAGCTCTTATTCATTTAAAAGCTGTATTTTAATTGGTCTTCAATTCTGATTAAAACAAAAAACAGAATTTCTTGAAAGGAAATGTTGATTAGTACTATGCTTCGAGCTCTTTTTACTATAAATAAACTTTCTTTTATTTTAAAAAGGTTCGTTTGAATTATTCTAAAACGCTTCCTCATTTTAATCATTATGTTCAAGAAACATTTAACATTCTACTTCTATTTCATCTTTATTCTTGTTTTTGCTCGAATTGTTTATTTTACATAAACAAATTTAAGTAAACCTACACTGTAGTTGATATGAAAATAAACAACAGAGATACGGTTAGAACCAGTACGGTAACTTCAATAAAGTTTCCTACATTTTGAGTAGAACTCGCTTCAAACACTTGTTACTAAAACATAAAAAATCGTTTCTGAACATTTTGTAATATTGAGTGTAGGTCTGTAGAACACACGAGTTTGTTGGAATTTAGGACTAGACACTCTTTTAGAAAAGTTTTCTCTGCCAGTTAATACAAATATTAAATGTAAAAAAAAATCAATTGACATTATATTTTATTAAATCTCTATTTTAATCAAAATGTTCCTGAAGCATTGTTTCGTTGTTTTGAGCCAACTTTGATAAATGTAGGATAAGTCCCAATGGATAATTTGTTAAGGTTAATATTAACTTAAAGGTCACAGTTAAAGTCAAATGTTCTCTTGTTTCTGACTGAACAACAACAAAAAAAAAACTGTAGAAAGAAAGAAAGGAGAAGCCTTGTGTATTCTACTTAGTGAATTTTTATCGTGTGACCTTCACCTTTAACGATAAAAAACAGAAACCGTTTGTGAATGGATTTACGTTTTACGCAGCGCCCTCTCAAATCTATAATTTCTATATAAAAATACAAGCCACTGTACACAAAATTAATTAAATGGCGTAAAAATCGATACGATAAAATATGAAGTTTTATAAAATACCATATGTAGATAGATTTTGGAACAAGGTAAAATACCAATATTCCGATGATCTTCATTATAAACATTTTTAATTAACTAAAATGTGAAATTCCCTTCGTTCTTAAAAAAAAAAAACGAATAAGTTATGTTTTTGCATTTTATTTTTCAAAGAGTCATGAGCTAATTAGTCAAATTAAAACTTAAGGTTATGAACAAGTAGCTAGTACAGAGATCTCTCTTCTACTCACATCCCAGCTACGTGTGTGGCTTCTTTGCCGAGCACTTCGGCTGTACCAAGAAACGGATCTCCGTTCTGTTTTACTAACACTAAAAGCCTGTTGTTACGATGGCCTCTTTCCCATCACGCCAATAAAACTTTCCTGGTATTTTTCCTCAGACGCCACAGCACGAATTGCTCTACTCTTCTTGTTCATATCGTGAACAAGAACGTTAACTGTGAGAGTAATTTCGTATAACCATGCACAGTAAGTCACACACTCTTACACACAGCTTTCGTAACCTTGTCGCCATCTTAGTAGTTTGAAAGGCAGCAGTTTATTGGCTAAAGCCAGTTAATGGACCTAAAATCTGCGTATTGGAATTACAAAACTAGTTTTAGTGAAGAATAATTTCGAATCAGAAAAAACAAAACAAAAACAGTTGTCTAAACATTTTTTTGTTGTAAGAACGATCACAACTCACATGTAACTTAAAATTACAGCAATTTGAAATTAGATAAATAAATATATATATACATACATATATATATTTCGTTATTTTTAGAGGATCAAATCTAAAATAAGAAGTTTATGCTAAATACCAACTACTCAGAGTACAGTACTAAAAAATATCCTTCTGATAACAATCGCAAATTTCTCTTCAAGTGACAAATATAATCAGTTTTATTTATTTAGATTAAATGACCTCCACTGTTAAACTGAGGAATAAAGTCACATTTTTACTGTTAGACTGAACGATATAGTCACAACTTCACTATTAGGTTAAGCACTATTAGTCGCTTTTGTATTGTTACATTGAATGATATAGTCACAACTTCACTATTGGGTTAAGCACTATTAGTCGCTTTTGTATTGTTACATTGAATGATATAGTCACAACTTCACTATTAGGTTAAGCACTATTAGTCGCTTTTGTATTGTTACATTGAATGATATAGTCACAACTTCACTATTAGGTTAAGCACTATTAGTCGCTTTTGTATTGTTACATTGAATGATATAGTCACAACTTTTTTGTTAGATTGAGTGATATAGTCGCAGTTTCTTTGTTAGATTGAATGGTATAGTCACAGTTTCTTTGTTAAAATGAGTGATATAGTCACAGTTTCTTTGTTAAATTGAGTGATATAGTCACAGTTTCTTTGTTAAATTGAGTGATATGGTGAGTTTCTTTGTTAGAATGAGTGGTGTAGTCACAGTTTCTTTGTTAGAATGAGTGATGTAGTCACAGTTTCTTTGTTAAATTGAGTGGCATAGTCACAGTTTCTTTGTTAGATTGAATGGTATAGTCACAGTTTCTTTGTTAAATTGAGTGATATAGTCACAGTTTCTTTGTTAAATTGAGTGATATAGTCACAGTTTCTTTGTTAGAATGAGTGATGTAGTCACACTTTCTTTGTTAGAATGAGTGATACAGTCACAGTTTCTTTGTTAAATTGAGGGCATAGTCACAGTTTCTTTGTTAGATTGAATGGTATAGTCACAATTTTATTGTTAGACTGAATAATACAGTCGCAGCTGCATTATTAGTCACCTTAACTGACATAGGAATGATGATATCCTTACCTAAATGAATTGCTTATCACAACACGCGTTTCTTTAACAGTGGGCCATCATACAAAGACATATACTCACAAAGTGTGTATTTTTTACCTTTAATTAATAAGTTTCAATCATCAAAAAGGTTATATTTTACACATTTTTTTATTTCTTCCGCTTCACTGAAAATGTATGCTATTATATTTTGTGATCGGATAGCTCCATCATAACCGATGGATTAGTAAGGTTGAGGGTTTATAACGCTAAATTTTGAGGTTTCATTATTGTGCAGCTTTATACTTAAAACAATCCTATAACTAGAGCTAAATTATTTTATAGTGAATTGTAATTAGCAAATTGCATTTTGCCTGTTTTTACAGATTATGTAGCGTTTTACTCGTAACTACCAAATACGACGGTGTTTAGGATCTAGAATTGTAAAAAAATAAAATTTCATACATTTTAACTAATAATGCTTGGAGACGGCTTGAATGGGTAATGAAGAAAAACTTTAATATAAGTTTAACATAACAGCAAACGTACAACGTTTCGATAAGGTTTTGTCATCATTTTAACTAAGCAATATTCCTGTGAACGTTATTTTTACTGCTGCCATCTAGCGAATGCTGTTAAAGTTACCATACGTTTCTTTAGTCATCATTTTAACTAAGCAATATTCCTGTGAACGTTATTCTTACTGCTGCCATTTAGCGAATGTTGTTAAAGTTACCATAAGTTTCTTTCATTCAAAAAGCAAAATAAAATACCATTTTCAAGAACGTATGCGTACATAAAAAGCCTGTGCTATAGCAGAAACATTTGGCTCTGTAATACATAACTAAAATTTCAGAAGTATAGTACTTGAAGGTAGATAAAAAATAATAATCGAGTAAAGGTAGCAAAATAAAATGAAATAAAGAAGGGAAGCTATAAACTGGAGTTTTTCTTTTCTTTGTTTATTTTCTTTTTAGCAAACGCGATTTTGGCCTAACGGTTAACATGCTAGGCTGTAGATCAGATGATCTAATGTTAGAGCCTGCAAAATGTCACTGAATACACTCCGCACTTTCAGCGTAAACTCTTTATCAAAATAACACTTAATCCTGTTATTCGATTAAAAGTGGTATAGTACAGCAGGTGTTGATATATTTCTGCTCGGTAGTTCTAAATTAAGGGCAAGTACACCTGAATCTTGGAGTTTCTGGGGTGATCATTTAGCTCATATATTACTTAGGCGACCATTCAGGATGGAAATAACTAGACATCATACCAAATAGTGTTTAGCATATTTTTCACTTTTATTTCATTTATAGTGTACATTCCTGTATTAGAATATTTATTTTAAACTCTAATTATGCTAAATATGAATAATTGATGGTAAAGGCTGAAATAAAATAAATAAACGTTGCATTATATTTATTTATTTGATTCCAACTATAGTAGTTACAGAGGGCGAAAAGATCAAGATAAATATGGAAACTTCGCTGAATTTTGTGAGATTCTTTAAGTTTAACTCAGCTTGTTGCATAAATATCAACGAAATAGTGATAATAATTAACAATATGATAGTGAATTAATTATTTTAAGTATGCTTTAAAATGAGTTAATAAAATGTATTATATGGCCCAAACAATTGTTTTAAAATTTCGTATATAATTTAAACTTGTACAGAAATTATATACGAAATTTGTAGTATGTTATTAGTGATAGTACAAAACGTTTTAAAAAAATCAGAGTGATGTCCTGTATACAAGTAGACCCAACTGTGGTAATAATTCTTAAATAAACCCTTGAAACTAATATATTAGATTCCACATCTATGTTTTTGAATGACACTACATCTTATTATGTTATTAGCAATAATATTAATAACACTAATTTACCATGTTTAAATTAGTTTGTGGATTATACTTACAAATTGCATAAGTTACAGCATCATGTAGTGTTAAGACATTTTTATGGTGTTCCAGGTAATGGGTGTACCTGTGTAATCCCCGACCAAAAATTAGTCATTTAAGGCCTTTAAAAAAATATTGAGAAGTTGTTTTACTGCTGTGGAAAAATGAGTATAGCTCCTGCTGCTTTAATGGTAGTACAGTAATTAATTGGTGCATTATTGTAGCTTTCGGTAGTTCTGCACAGTACAGCTACAAACATAAATGTCACTAACTGCAAGAAGTTTCTTTTGGTGTACTCATGAATGATTCAATTTTCTGTAATAAAGTAAAAGAAAAAGTTGTCATTATTTGTGTTTATTATGACCACATCTGATGATTTAATTTGCTAAATTAATCTTGTGCCAAATTTCACCTGTTTATTAGGCTGTAGTGAGGAATGTACATTACTTCTCTTATGATAATTAGACAGTGAGGTCTTACTATGGTAACCATGTGGATACGTGTCTAGCTCGATGCATCTTCAAATTTACTATATGAAAATGTAGGATATACTCCCTAATTATGTGTATAGTACTGTACATTTAATATACATTTGTATTTGAATGGAATACAGTATGAAAAGTTACTACTGAGAGTCAAAACTTGGTATTTTGAGGAATGGTGATGTATAATTTCTAATTAAGGATGTATATTATCAATTTATATAACAGTGTTATTAAGTAATCTTTGATAGGTTGTTTAGACAGAGTATTTATAATTAATCTAAGTTTCAAATGTACAGCAACTACCAACATTTGTAGGTTTCTACAACAGGCAGTTGCTGTCCATTTGAAATTTGGATTCAGTGTTATTAAGCATTTCCTTTGCTGGCACAGTGAAAGGACATTATAATAACAGAGCTTTCAGTAACTTCTTAGACCTAGTTTAGGCTGATCACTTTTATTGAGGTAGGACTTTGATTCATGTGACCTAATTTTAAAGAGTATGGAACAAAAGTAAAGGTTTGTACATATATCATTCACTGTTATAGTTTTGGGAACAACATAGTGGGTATTTCTCCAGAATAAACTTTTAATTCCACTTAATTCCACATCTCAGTCCAATTTTGAGATATGTGTTCCTGGAGAAATATTGGTGGTATGTACCTAGATATTATGTTGTACTGTTTGGTTAAAGGTTTGAACATTGTTTTCTCTTGAGTACAGGTTTATCAGAAAAAATTAAACTAGTTTGTGCTTACATACACTGCCACTCAGTCCATTTACACTTGTTTGAGTTATACAATACACTGCCACTCAGTCCATTTACTTGTGTGTTTGAGTTATACAGCACACTGCCACTCAGTCCATTTACATTTGTTTGAGTTATACAATACACTGCCCTGTAACTGGTGGCTAACAAGTCTGTTTTTATTAGAACGTCTAAAGAGTTTTTTTTCAAAAGCAGGCCATCTTTTCACAGATCACCTTAGATAAAGAAAGTTCTAACATTTGACGTGAGACTTCTAGATTCTCTTATCTTGCTGATCCACACGTTTTCTGTATTTTGTTAATAGTTTTACAGAAAGACGTTGTTGCAATACACGTAGGTGTGAATGAATACCAGAAACAAGCTATTGAAAAACTTCATTATCTGAATTCATTTATGGTTCTTGCACAAACAAAATAATTATTTCTATCTGTATTGATCAGTTACTTTAATGCAAGCATATTTGACTAGCTTCCCATCCTTCGACTATCACATCACGAAATTTAATTAAAACTGAAAAAGTAATTAAGTATTTACTAGCTAATTATTCCATTTTTTTGTGAACAAGGAATATTTATGTGGCTGTGCTTTACCATGATTTCATGTGAGAACAAATATACAGTTTATGTATTGCTTAAATAATGCTCATCTTGTTTTTCAGGCTCATCAACAATACCGTAAAGCTGAACATTTTTTAAAATCAGGAAAGTTTGAAGAGGCCATTTCATGTCACCAAAGAGCAGCAGGTATTCTCTCTTCTCATTTTATTCTGTAATGTTGACATTTTGAAATGACTATACTTTGGTCTTGAATTGAGAGTTTTAATTTACAAAATTCCTGTGTGCCATGTGGAGTCAAATGAGTTTTATTTTTTGTTAAAATAGGTGTTTTTTTAAATTCTGGTAAACAACAAAAACGTGTTTTTAAGTATTGGCTCAGTCTCCTGCATTATGTATAAGTGTTTGTGTGAAAGATAAACCATTAAAATGAAAACAAAAGAAAAAAATATGTTCCGTTATTTACATAGAAAATCAAGAACAATTGAAATTGTGAAGGTCTCTCAGAAGACTGTGATTTGATATTTTTACAAACAGGCCTATAGCCACGGAGGTCTAATCCCTCTCAAATCCCATACCACACCATGTCCTTGAAATTAAAATCTATGTTAATGTTTTTTTTTGCTTTGATTAAAAAGTTATTTTTTATAGTAAATTGAGTGCTTATTAGTGTTATTGATTGTTATCGTTTTCAGTTATTCTAACCAATAATTAAGTAATCAAAAATAATTGATTAATCGAAATTAGTGGTCCAATTACTACTATAATTATAATGATCTTTATTATTTAAAGTTTGTTCACGTTAGTTAATTAGTGTCAGAACTCACAAAAATAACCAACTAATCAAAATTAGTGTGTTTTATTTTTACTATGTTTGGTAATCCCAACTATCTAAGTAATTCAAATAGCACCATTATGTGTTTGTTTATTTAGTACTAAGCTACACAGTAGGCTGTCTGTACTCTGCCCATTATATGTACTGAATCCTGATTTTTAGTGTTAAGTTTTATTTTAATCATCTCCTGGGAATAATCAGTTTGTGTAATTTACTAATCAATTAATCATCTAGTTCATTAATTGATTAACAAATTACACTAATCACCCAGCTCCAAAAAAAAATAGCATTTTAGACCTACCTTCTGTCTCCCACAAGCCACTGACCAAGAGTCCTTTTGCTTAATACCAGAACTCATCAGTTTGGTTTTATGATGAGAGAAGTTTCTGAAAAACTGGTGAAATATTAGAAACCGATAGGCCTAAAACATAATTGACAGTATTCTGAACCACATTTATTCTATCACATGGTTCTGGTTATGCCATTAGGCTTAGTGTGGCCATAAATATACAGCAATGCAAGAAAATATGGAAGAAGGGAGCCCACTCTCGAATCTATTGTGTACAAGATTGTTACATTATGTAATATGTAAAGAATGCAAATATATGGAGAAATATCATATTTATAAAATTCTGAAATACAGATAATATAAGTTCTTTTGTGAACTTGTAGGAAAAGATAGCAATGATAGATTCTCAGAAGGGGAAGGAATAATATAGTGTGGCTGGGGGTCAAGGGGGCCCACTTTAAACAACAAAAGATTAGGGAAAGCAACTCCAGAGGGAAACTGTCTGGTGTTGTTGCTTGAAAACTGGAAGGTAGTGTATATCAGCTGTGTCATATGTTAGACCTGCCAGTCTATAGGGGGTTGGGTGGAAGCACTGATTATGTTAGGTACTTGTGTCTGAAGTTTTGCTTCGTTATTTTTACTACTTATTTTAGTAATTATATCGATATTATAGTTTCAAATAATTCTTATTGTATACCTTAACTAGTTTGAATTCACAGTTCCATCCATAACAGAACAGCTTAATTCACTTGTACTTGTCACTATTATGTTTTACAAGTTGGTCCATCATCCTTATTTACTAACTTGTTCTTATTGGATTTTGACTCAGGTTTGTTACAGGATGCCTTAAAGCAGACAAATTCAGATAAAGCCAAAGAATCCCTTATTCTTCAGAGTGAATTTCATCTTCGTCAAGAAGCAGTTGTTCGATACAAGCAAAATAGCAAAGGTATTTCAAAAAAGGCTCGGGAAAACATAAAAGCTGAACAAGAAACCTGTAATGAAGATGAATCTGTAGGAGAACAATCTCCCAGTAGCGTAGAGCACATTCAGTTTGCAATATTACAAACCATGGCAGAAAATGATTATTTGCTTCAGTTTCTAATTCAACCCAGCACTACTTTAGTTGAGTCTTCATTAGCTACTAATTTATGTGAAAGTAACGCGCAAGGTGCAGTTTACACACCCAGAAATGACAAAGCACTGATTCAAGAATTGCAACTAAATAATGAAGACTTGAAGAGGTTGCTTCAGCAGTTGACAGTGGAACTAGAGCGGGTAACACGGGAGAATGAGCACCTTCGAAACATTGTTGAAGAGTTACAGAGAAAAACCATTTGGCAGGGAACTAGAAGATTACATATGATTAATGACCTAAATTCTCACTACCCATTTTCTTCTGTTAATGACCCAAGCAGTGGTTTAAGAGACCTCCCAGCCCTGACCCCTTTAGAAGTGCCAAATTTTGATTTTGCTTTGTTAAAAAAAGAAGCAACGAGAACAAATTTGTGAGAGACAACTAAACAAGTTGTGCATGTGGTCTTGCAAAGCTAAGACGTTAAGTATGAATTTTAAAATATATCCTATTACTGTAGATAGTTTTATTTCCAAAATTGTGAACTGTGAAAGTCGGTGGGAGGTTTCTGGAGATAAACAGGCTATAATATACGCGCAAGCATATGGTGAAGAATGTGATATATTAATTCACATCTAAATCTATTAAAAAGTCTGAAGAAATTTTGGTCAAATTTTCAAGGCAACGAAACTTGTGCTGCATGAAATCTACATCATTAACATGTGTGACTTAAAGTAACCTAGTTTGTAAAGTTTACAATGCTTTACTATTGTATAGTTGTATATGTACATTTTAATAGTTTTATGAATATTTAAGACTGAATATAAACTGGCTTTAAGGGTTTATTGATCAAAAATAAAAACACAAAATTCACCTACGATTACAGTACCCGAGTACTCATAATTTATGTTGCTTTTGTTTCTGTGCTGAATAAAATTGTCATTGACAGTAGTCCCTGTTAACCATGGTTTGTCTGTTCTCTGTTTTCAGGTATACAGCTTCCAAAAGACACTAAAACCGAGTAATGAAATCTCACTTAATTTTCTATTTATAAATCAGGTTTTATGTTTGGTAAGATTCATTGAATTACACCTCAAGAAACTAATGTAGGGAAAATTGTGTACAGTTTAAGAGGAGGGCATGTGAGAAGGTTGAAAAGTTTTGTCAGCACTGGATTTAGCAGATAGTGTGGTTGGCATATTATTATGCACTCTACGTTTTGAATTTTTACACATCTGAATATTTTTTATATTACTGGTTTAGGACTAATATAAATCTCTTAAGCTGACTAAACTACATGAGATATTACAGAGATTATGTCTGTTAATAGCAATGAGGACCCAATTAACAAAATCAATAAATTTTAATTATTACAGGTTGTGAATTGATTTATGACATCTTGTACTTCAAGCTGTTTGTTGATTTAGTTAGCTAATTTCAAGATAAAATGTTCTTGATAATTAGCTTAAGAAACTTGAGTTTTTTTAAATCAAATTTTAGTTCATTTGTCAGAAATAATATTCAAATTTAAATACATCTGGTTAACCCCCAAGTTAATAACTTGTTTCATACCTTTCACCTTTTATCTGTTACAAGGGGTTCTGTAGTTAACAAAGTTATGGACACACAAGTAATTTGGTGCATGGATATTAGAAATCTGATGGTGTCATTGACCTCACCAGCACTTTTTATCTAGACTTCATTATAACCCACAGATACACACAGCTATGTCGGATATTTGTACCACTTCCACAAGATGTGTAGAAAATTGCAAATTCTTACGGTGAAGGTAGGGTGAAGTGTTCGAACACATGAAAAAATAAACACATTTGATTCTCCACTAAGAGAAAGAATCGATCACTTTATTGCATCAAATATTAGATAATTATCACAGGAAATGATATGAAATCAATTTCAATTGATCAGAAAAAGTTTAATCCATTCTTACAATGAACCTATTTCTGTTGTGAAAAAACATAATCCTGGAAGGCATAGTGATCCTTTTAAACCAAGGTAATTTTAAAACTGGTGTAAAATTTAAAAAATCTTATGAGTTAGATAAAAGTATAACAAAGTACCATTTATTATATTAACATTTTTACAACTACTCATTTCTAAACTTAGTGTTAAAAAAAGAATTCTTGAACACATTCTTTCATAATAAAGTTTTAGTCGCATGCTGCAGCCGTCTTCAGACTCAGTTAAATGAAAGATTGAAAGGAAACTGACTTTTAAGTCCTACATTTTGAAATAAATCAAAAGACAATGAGGCTGAAGAGTAGAACAACTACAAGCATCAACAGGGAAACATTCACCCTGTATGGAATGATTTTTTTCGTAAGTAACTTTGACAGCCATACTTTTTATTAGTCTTCTTAATGGAATTTGTATATCTATTAAACTATAAGTTCGTATGAACTTCTGTTATTTAGTTTGAAGGTAATGTTTAATGTACAGCCACATATGTATGTTAGTTATTCCTTTCCTAAAGTCAGTGGCTTTTCAAACCTTCATTCCGTACCTAACAAATAAAACACGTAGGGTATTATATTGAAAATTTTTACTCCAGACAGTGGCGTGCAGAGGTTCTATGATGCCCGGGGGCCTTGTACCTAAGACCTTGGGGAAGGGCGGAAAGGGTTGTACTATTCGATTCGACTCTTTGCGTTGGATGCCCGGGACCCCGGCACTATTTGCCCAACCCCCTGCACGCTACTGACTCCAAAACACTCAAATACAGTCCTAGAGATCTCAGGGATACTTTTAAGTAATAAAAAAACTCAATTCCACTTCATTTTAATATCTTTTATGTAGTTAAATCTCGTAACTGTAACTTCCTTTTAATACAGACACAGCTTTGTGGTGATAAGAGATGTGTCACTGCAAAACAACAATGAAATAGCTAACTAATCATAAAGAAACAGTAACTATAGCAACAGTAAGATTATCACTGAAATTATGAACATTATGTAACAAAACATTGTAGTAAGACTGTACAAGGACAGGTAAGTGTATCAAAACAAGATTAGATATATTAGTTGATGAAAAACTTGGCTGAATAAAAAGTTAATAATAAAAAGCCACATCTAAAAGCAAGACAACAAAATGTAGTCAAAACCCGGTAATGAAAGACGGAGCAAATGTATTTGATAAAGATGTGGAATCTTCCATGAGCGTGGTTGAACCTGGAATACAGTGTTTAAACCTCCTGATATTTTTGATGTGAATGCACTTACAGAAATATATTTGTTTAAAAGTAGTCATGACGATGAGAGAGAATATAGAGTAAAAATCTTTACGTTTAGGGCAGAGGGAATTTTTGTACATATATGCATTACACGAAACTGTAAATTTAAGCATGGAGAAGTGAAGTATGTACATGTATTACAAAAAAATTAAAACAAACTTTAAACTTACAGCCGAGGGAACACAGACCAAGGCAAACTTTCTACATTTTCTGTCTAGTTCTAGGGAAAAATTATTTGTTATTTAGAAACATAAATACTTCACATACATTATCCTGAAGAGAAAGATAAGAGTTATCTGTACTGAAAGAATCTGTTTTGTTTTATAAGAGTTTATTAATACTTTTTTTTATGGGCCTTCAAGGGACTTAGTGCAGATACCATGATTTTCTTCTACTTCAACAAAAAAGAATTAACCCACTTAGAGTTCTATAATAGCTCTACTGCTTAGAATTATGAGACACAAGTTGAAATGAAACTGAAACCTAAGACTACAGCAAGAACTCTGTGTGAAGTACACAGTCAATAGCTTGTTTTTATTAAGGTTAAGGAAAGCGTATGTTCAGGCATCTAATTTGTATAAACCTTTACAAAAGTCACATGTATATTACTATGTACTGGAAATTTTGTCTGTCTTTACTTCCACAGTGACAAAACTCTAAATGTAAGAAGTCACATTTGGCCAACCACAAGCAAAGATGCATTATTTCTTTCACATACAATTTCTTATGAGGTGACACTCAATGTTTGTTTTTTTACAATTCGAATCATTCCAAAATCTGTATCTGTTACGTCTCACATAACATTAAATATTCTAAGACAATACAGTTGCAAGGTCTCATTTATATTTCCTGCTCAGAAAGAGGTAGGTTGAAATGAACCCACACTGCACTGGCCTTTATGAAAATAACTGACCATCATAAGATAGTTATGAAGAGTCAGCTGAAATACCAAATCAATTATCACAATTACAAAATATAAACTTTTCAGAATGGTGCTGTAACAGTACCTCCACAACTATAAACTGTTCAGAATGGTACTAAAGTAACAGTAATTACATAACTATAAACTGAAGTACATAACTATAAACTGAAGTAACAGTAATTACATAACTATAAACTGTTCAGAATGGTACTAAAGTAGCAGTAACTACACAACTATAAACTGTTCAGAATGGTGATAAAGTAGCAGTAATTCCACAACTATAAACTGTTCAGAATGGTACTAAAGTAACAGTAATTACATAATTATAAACTGTTCAGAATGGTACTAAAGTAGCAGTAACTCCACAACTATAAACTGTTCAGAATGGTACTAAAGTAGCAGTAATTCCACAACCAGTAACTCCACAACTATAAACTGTTCAGAATGGTGATAAAGTAGCAGTAATTCCACAACTATAAACTGTTCAGAATGGTACTAAAGTAGCAGTAACTCCACAACTATAAACTGTTCAGAACAGTGATAAAGTAACAGTAATTCCACAACTATAAACTGTTCAGAACGGTGATAAAGTAGCAGTAATTCCACACCTATAAACTGTTCAGAATGGTACTAAAGTAGCAGTAATTCCACACCTATAAACTGTTCAGAACAGTGATAAAGTAGCAGTAATTCCACAACTATAAACTGTTCAGAACGGTGATAAAGTAGCAGTAACTCCACAACTATAAACTGTTCAGAACAGTGATAAAGTAGCAGTAATTCCACACCTATAAACTGTTCAGAATGGTGATAAAGTAGCAGTAATTCCACAACTATAAACCGTTCAGAATGGTACTAAAGTAGCAGTAACTCCACAACTATAAACTGTTCAGAACGGTACTAAAGTAGCAGTAATTCCACAACTATAAACTGTTCAGAACGGTACTAAAGTAGCAGTAACTCCACAACTATAAACTGTTCAGAACGTTGATAAAGTAGCAGTAACTCCACAACTATAAACTGTTCAGAACGGTACTGTAGCAGTAATTCTACAACTATAAACTGTTCAGAACGGTGATAAAGTAGCAGTAATTCCACAACTATAAACTGTTCAGAATGGTACTAAAGTAGCAGTAATTCCACAACTATAAACTGTTCAGAACAGTGATAAAGTAGCAGTAACTCCACAACTATAAACTGTTCAGAACAGTGATAAAGTAGCAGTAATTCACCACAACAAAAGGTGGCACTCAAAAGAGTATAAATCTAAAGTTAGGTCAAGCAGTCTAAATGAAGTGTAACATGATTCCTCTCCCAAAAGTTGGTAAATATAAATCAAAACTCCAATGTCTATAGTTGGGAATAACTCAAACATACATACAGCACCAACTATTTTAATCTTTGTGAAAACAAAGTGATTAAACAGCAGACTTACTATTTTCCTTTCAATCCAATTTAAATCTTATAATATTATATACATTTGTAATTAGTGATGTGGTGGGTAACCTTCCCAAACATAAGAACAACATTAACCGTCCATATACTGTAAAATTAAACAGTACTGTGTATACAAATGTTCATGTAGAATTATGTGCAACAAATGAATGCATGTGGAGATAAAAAATTTAACCCTAACTCTTTTAAATAACAAAAGGTGTTATAGTTTTACATGTGTCAAATTTTGTTTTGTATTTCAAAACTATATAAATGACAACTCTTGTAAACTTAGCTTAGTTTCACTGAACTAGAAAGAAAGATCACTCAAGAAAAAATGCTTCACAGATTTCTGTGTAATAATTACATAATTACCAAAATATTCACGTGACATAAATTATTTCATACTAGTATTTCCGTTGATCACTAAATTTTTCATCACCACTGAATTAATCATGTTGCATTTTTTAACTCTAAAATTTTCACCTTTCAACTATGAAAATGTAAAATGCCTTTCAAGCACTACAAACCTTGGCTAATAAATCTGAAACCAGAAATATATCTCGGAAGAAGTATACATCTTCATAAACACCCATTCAAAATTAAATTATAAGAGGTTCTTTAAAACATTAAAAAATCAAAGTGGTAGCTTACAGATGTCAGTGATCAGACAGAGAAAAACCCTTCTTAGAACTTTGTGAAGTTGTACTAAATCTATAGAGAAGTTATTCACATACTTTTTTAGACATTTAATTATTACTTTTCTAACCACCCCCCAAAATTGTTCTTGTTTTCGATGCTTAAAATACATTTCAATACTAACCTGATATGTTTCTATTTTAGTTTAACATTCAAAACAACCTTCTCAGTATTTCTCCTGCAAAACAATCCTTAAGCTAGAGAACCTTAATTTTGATATTAATTATTTTTCAGTCTTTTACTTTACCTACATCTAAGTAAGAACCATGTATATATATATATATATATATATACGAACAACTGATTAAATTTGTATGAAGATATCTACCAAATATTTGTAACAACTAAAATAGATGAAAAACCTTATTATACAATTTTTATACATTTTTTCAATATACCTTAATATCTATGGCAAAAAACAAATCACTGCTTGGATGTATAACAAAACAAGATAATTATTTTTTCTGTGTGTTTAATAATTCTTAACTGCAGAAACAAACCAAACTATCATCGTGCTCAAAATGTAGGCTGCAGAAAGAGGTCTTTTGTAAATATAAACTATAACTGAATTTTTTAATACAATATAACAAATATATTTTCATTACAAACTTCAAAAACGTCAGATTTCTTTACATCCACACGATAAATGAATAGCTTTGAAATATTAAAGAGTAAGCTAAGGCATTCAGTTTTTTTTTTTAAACAATCCTATCAAAACATTTCTACGAAACTTTTGGTCTAGGTTTATAACAAGGCCAACGACAAACAGGGCAGCAGTGGTTGCAAGAATCTCGACACAACCAAGCCATTATGCACTGACAGTGGTAGTTGTGACCACAAGGCAACCCACATAAACTGACACCATAATGATAGCGTTCCAAACAGATGGCACACTCTCTGCATTCCAACATTCCCAAAGGAGTCCTTTGCTGTTTGTCATCATTTGGAGACTGGAAGCCATGATTTTCTTCATCAGAAACATCACTACTCTGCCAGTAATTGCTAGAAAGTCGTCTTTCAGCTGTTGTGGAGCAGTCACAGTCCTTAATCTTGGTTTTTACATTACTGTCCATAAGAACTTGACCAGAATCTGGTTTCAGGTCTTGTTTGGCAAGATGGTAATTTAATGGATGAGCTAGTTCTTCAGACATAATTTTGGAATTTTCCATATCTTTAGTGTGTTCATAATTAAACTGAGCATCCATCTCTACTTTATGCATCTTGTCGTCACTTGTACACCATCCACAGTAAGTCCAAACAGGCAGGTCTTTAATATAATCAGTTGGGTAAACAGGCTGTAGCCAGAGGTTTGGAACAACTAGTCTTCCAATAAGCAACTCCATTCCCTCTTCAAGATCCAGATCTTGAGGTACCATTGGTCGACTCAGAGTGGCCATTGGTCGAAAAAGGTAACTCAAAATATATCCCTCCCAAGGATCAGTCCACCAATCAGCAAAAAAGAAGGATTCATTGAAGGAAGAATTATAGCCTAATTTCTTCCATATCACACCAGATATAGTTCCCAAGACAATGAAAGTAACAAACAACAAATAAGATGAGAGATGCAGTTTCCAATCATATCTAATGAGAGAAGCTACAGGTGTACCACTTAAATATCGGACTACTTTTAAACAGAATTCTGATGTTGTTTCCATAAACGGAAACTGAAACAATCCTATAACCAATAACCATACTAAAAACAAAACACAGTTGCATTTAATGATTTGAAATAACAAATGAATAACATGCTTCCAAATTTTGCCTGACAAAAGAAATAATCCAAATCCTGTGAAAATATTTACAATAAACAAACTTAACAAAAATATATCATTCATTTCTGGTCTCAGCCACTTTAAAAACAAGTCCATGCTTTCAAAATTAAGGATTTCGCCACACTGATGACCATAAACAACAGTTTTTTCTGGTGTAACAATCAGGTAAATGGGGAATTTCGATACTTTCAGCTTCTTCTTCCACTGAATTTTATTATTTTCACTGATATTAACCAACCCAAAGCGGATTCTTCCGGTAAATTTAATGGCCAAGGAGGAAAGAAACAGTGGGGGTTGTGACATAGTTGACAACAAAATCACTCGTACTTCAGACAACGGAGTTTCAGGGGGAGTACTTCAACCAGTGATTTTCAAGCTCGTCGGGAGAACCAACCATCTTTATCCTGGTTGCTAGAAGATGCCGTATCCACTGTACAACAGCTTGTGCTTTAGCTGGGAACAGGTAACTATGAAGGACTACTTCCTGCTTGGCTCTGTGTCCTCTAGGAAGTGCAAGAACCAATTGTGGCATTGTCCACTTCTTCCTAGCACACAGTCTATCAAATAAGCATTATAATTTATCAATTATCACTTCACTTTTACAACTAAATTATGTATTCAGCAAGAATTTATTAAATTTGTCATTAATCATATAAACAATCTCAGAGATAGTGCTAATATTTTATAACAGTTAATAATTGATAAACTGTAATAAATGAAACTTTATTTCTCCTTTCAAACACACAAGTTGTCTTACTAACTGACCTTTCATCTAAAGAACATTCAAATATTCCAGTTCGAACTCCAAATCGTGATACTTTGGAAATGACCTGTTTCCAAGTGGAAGTGTCCAGTAAAGGTTGGGTCAGTCCTGAAGGAATAACTTGTACTAACCACACACTATCTTTGGTATCTTCTACCTCCTCATAAAAGTGGCTACCACAGGTGAAGTGAGTGGATTTAGTAGTCTTGCTGAAAACGGAGCTCCGTGATGAAGAGTTTTCTGTTTCTATAGCCGAGTCCAGCTCTTCCTGCACTACCTCTCCTGTTGAATAAATCATCAGTTTCAAAATTCACTTGTCAAAAGTTATTTTACTAAGTGTATATTTATAAACAGAAAATAGATGATAGAAGAAATATCTACAATAGTTTTCAACATAGAGCTAGTAATAAAATGAGTTTTGGTTTTACTAAGTGTATATTTATAAACAGAAAATAGATGATAGAAGAAATATCTACAATAGTTTTCAACATAGAGCTAGTAATAAAATGAGTTTTGGTTTTATTAAGTGTATATTTATAAACAGAAAATAGATGATAGAAGAAATATCTACAATAGTTTTCAACATACACTAAATGCTAATCAAATGTAACAGAACTACAAAACTGCTTTTCATATTATTTGGAACATTCTAAAAATGTTATCTATAACTCTCTAAATTCAAAAATAAATGTACAATTCATATCGAAGTCCATAACATCACAAAAACTAATCTGTTTTGAGTTATCACTGTTAGTAGATGTTTGTACTAAATAAATCTTGTTCAGCTCTGGCTTAAGTCTGTTAATTAATCAATAACATTTTTTATACATAAGTTCCTCTCATGATGCCCTCTAATGAAAATCTAAACTGACACTAATCTTATAATCCTTCACTAAATCTGCATGTTCCTTTATGTGTTTCTGGTCACCTAGTGGTCAAGCCTAAAGTTACATCATATATCACCTTTAAATATGAAACAGTTTATTCTATTTTCAGCTTTAGATAATAGTCTTAAACCAACTTACAGAGGGGTTCTATGAAACAGTTTATGTAAAAGTTTTTTTTGTGCATTAAGTTAATACATATTTACCCATATATACAGTAATATTATCCACATTGTTTGTTTTGGAATATTGAATTTTATTTGTTTAAGATTATTATTGTTATCCAAATACTTATATGTAATATCGTTCTATTTGGACAACAACTTTTGTTTATAAACATTTTAATACCGTTTAATTTCTTAGAAAAATACTTATACAAGCTAGTTAAAAAAAAATTTAGTTTGTGAAAAATCACAAATAAATATTTTTATGGATTAAACATTAATGTGGCTGTAAATATTAGTTTTCAAGCAAACTTAATTACAACAGTCATTTGCTTAATAACATGTGTCAGATTTGACCTAAGATATATTTGGTTTATACTGCAATGCTAATGATTTTCAAGTACTATTAGCAGTGTGTTTATTAATATACATCTTGCAAAACAAACAAGTTACAGCCGAGTATGAAAGTGTTTTCTTCTCCAATCATCATAATATTTTTCAAGAAAACAGAAGCCTTGACAGAATACAACATTGTTAAAGTACACATAGGGCCACGCTGTCTACACCTACAGCTTAAACAAGTAGTAACCTCTATCCTGGGGCAAAATTAGGGAGGGTCTTTCATGTGTAATTAGGTCAAGAAAAACTGGTTTCCATCATGAACTTTTTTTAATCACTCTTACTTTTTAGTATCTCCAGACCGAACTGAAAATGAAATGTACACACACTACTTGGATAAACAGGTTTCAAAACTACTGTTGCCAGTTTTTTCATTAATGTATACATGTACATCAAAGACTTCTGTGTTACCATGGAAACTTTGTTACTGTACAAACAGAATGAAATGTATACACACTACTTGGATAAACAGGTTTCAAAACTACTGTTGCCAGTTTTTTCATTAATGTATACATGTACATCAAAGACTTCTGTGTTACCATGGAAACTTTGTTACTGAACAAACAAAATAAAATGTACACACACTACTTGGATAAACAGGTTTCAAAACTACTGTTGCCAGTTTTTTCATTAATGTATACATGTACATCAAAGACTTCTGTGTTGCCATGGAAACTGTACAAACAGAGTAACTTTATAACCACTGCTGTTCCACAAGTATTATGAAAAGTGGTCCAAATGGTGTATTTTTAGTTTTCATTAAGCTTTAATTTGCTTATGTCAAATTTATGTAAATTTCTTTAAAATATAATACAATTCTCAAACCATAACCAATGATATATTATTCACACATATGTATATATATATATATATATATATACATATCTGGAACTAAGCTAAAAAAGAACCAAAATTATACTCAAGATAAGTGTACAGTCAAATGTACATGTAAAACAACAAACAGGATGTCAGATAGTGAGTATGAACTTTGTCCATAAACTTTCAGGGTCATATAAATGGGTACATGTGTACACTGAGCTCAAATCTGATTTAATCATTCAAGAGATGCATATATATATATATATATACACACACACACACACACATTAAAGTGAGATAAAAAATTAACTAGAAAAAGTCTCTACATATTACATACACAGCTTTATTATATTTTACACATCTTGGACTAGTACTTCGGATACACTTTCAACAATAAGTAATTCAAGAAGCATTGTTTGTGAAACTTTTAACAATACTTCACCTAAAACTGAATTTATCCAATATACAAAAAAACAATCTTCATAAAATTAAATACCAGAATGATATGGATCATGAAGCAGCCGTTATAAAAGTAACTACTGGTACACTACTGAGTGATGAAGCAGTCATTATAACACTACTGAGTGATGAAGCAGCCATTATAACACTACTGGTACACTACTGAGTGATGAAGCAGCCATTATAACACTACTGGTATACTACTGAGTGATGAAGCAGCCATTATAACACTACTGAGTGATGAAGCAGCCATTATAACACTACTGGTACACTACTGAGTGATGAAGCAGTCATTATAACACTACTGGTACACTACTGAGTGATGAAGCAGCCATTATAACACTACTGGTACATTACTGAGTGATGAAGCAGCCATTATAACACTACTGGTACACTACTGAGTGATGAAGCAGTCATTATAAAAGTAACTACTGGTACACTACTGAGTGATGAAGCAGTCATTATAAAAGTAACTACTGGTACACTACTGAGTGATGAAGCAGTCATTATAAAAGTAACTACTGGTACACTACTGAGTGATGAAGCAGTCATTATAAAAGTAACTACTGGTACACTACTGAGTGATGAAGCAGTCATTATAAAAGTAACTACTGGTACACTTTATCCTTTTGCAACTTCCTTGTTACAGACCTTTAAATTAATACTTTGTGACAGGATGAACTAAGACTAAACGTCATGATTCAGACGAGCTGAGGAGCTCTCACAATAACTTCTAGCATTTGGAATTCTTAACTACGAAATTAGTAGAAATAAAGATACTTTTTGGTAGTTTTTACTTGAAAGATTAATCGTACTTCAGTTTTACATTTTTTGAAACAATTAATTCCACCGAGGCCTGAAATAAGTTTAGCATTTGTGATTTATTTAACAAATTGTGCTCTGACTGACAAATCAAAATGATACTTATATTGAAGAAAAATCACCGCTAATTGTTATTAGCTATATAGCTTTTATTAAATAAATAATGATTGGTAAATGAGCAAAGCCAGTAAGGAATGTACACCTCGGTAACAATGTATTTACTTTCCACCTAAATTAAGAATGAGGACACAGTAACTAACACTTTTGAAACAACTAATAATGATACCCATATTTTTTACCAATTATCTTGCAACTCACTCTTCTGAAATTAAAATATATAGATTGGCAAAAGTAAAATTTCATATTTTCCATAAGATATTAAATTAGAAAATTGTGTCTGTGCCCATGCATTTGAAAATAAAAAAAAACAGACATGTTACTTTATAAACTAACAAGATGATCCTATAAAATATTACTGATAAAAACAACTATGTCTGTAAAATGTAAAAGCATAGTGACAAGAATAAATGTTTACTTTCATCATTCATTTATTAACCCTTCCATTATGGAGCTGGGTGGAATAGACCCAGCTTGTAACCACGAAAGTATCCATGAGAGTACTTATACTATGATTTTTCATAATGCATGCATATCTTTACAAAATTTTGCAGGTTATTGGTAAACATTACAAGGTTTTTCGTACACAAAATATCATGTTATAAATTAAGTATTAAGATTTTTTAATTAAAGATTTTCTCGTAAAACTTTTTCTTTCAGAATATTGAATATCCAACATGCAAAGTAATTTTGATTTTAAGATTATATATACTTTAATGCATTAGAACATTTTCAAATTTCACATGTATTGTTTGTTTGTTTTTAATTATGCACAAAGCTACACAAGGGCTATCTGTGCTCTGCCCACCACGGGTATCGGAACCCGGTTTCTAGCGTTGTAAGTCCGCAGACATACCGCTGTGCCACTGGGGGGCATTTCACATGTAAAAGCTTTATAATCTCCAGATAATTATCAAGTTTTTTGTATAAAAAAAAAACTATATTTTATTTGTTATTTTTCACAAGTGTATTTCTATACGGGTTGGTTCGATATGACCGACTTTGTAACCTCAATAAAAAAATTAGGAAATAAATATAAATTATGCTTCTTTCA